GTAAGGTCACCATGAGGCAGGTCAGAGGGTAGGACATGAGGCAGAGAACTCTGACCAAACGATGGTCAATAGGTACCTGGTCTGTGCACCATTGTATTAGTATATATAGTAGGGAGTCTGAGGCAGGGAACCTCAGACTTGATCTTCTCGTCGATTCCCCATCTCCTCTGTAGGTAGCTAGCAGCCCTACCTCCCTCACTACCCCTTCTAGTCTAGGGAATACATCTCTTCACATCTCTTGCTGTGTCACCTCTGGTTGCTTCGCTTCTCAGCACCAACCTCTGCATCAGTAAGCTTTGCCCTTGTTTGTTTTGGTGGCACAGCTCGTTGGCTGTGACAACGTTGTATGCCATGATCGCGGCTTGGGACGGGGCATCTTTCCATACGGGCTCCTAGATGTGCAGAGGTCAGTACTGATTCTTGAAGACAAGCCCACACAGGAGAACAACGGGGAAGAACCGATCGAGTCTGGCGCGTCCTCTCGCGGCGGACACATCGCGAAGAAACCGTATCAAGAATCTGCCAGTTAGGACGAGCCGCTGGACGTGATCTCTCCGAAGGGGAAGAGTGAAGGGTTCTATCGGGCGATGGGCATGAGTGATGATCGTGGTGAGCCCACAGGATGCCATCCTGTGTCGCACGCATGGTCTCATCCTGCGCTCGTTGTACAGCTGCTCGGCAGGCCCAAAACCCGAACAGCCTGCTCGATCCGGAAGTCATCGTGAAGCGCACGAAAAGACGTCTTGAGGAGCTCGAGGTAGGGCTGAACGCGGATCATCCGTGGCTCGATCCGGATCCTCACCTGCGGATTTTTGAGGATCAGAAGCCTTGATCCAGATCCTCAAGGATCCTAATCCGCGGATCCGGATCACTGCGGATTCGACTCATTTGCGGCTCCTGATCCTCAGTGAGCCTCAGAGTAATGCAAGAAATGCTATTGTTTTATATATATTTACCAATTTTGAACACATTTCGTGCGGGGTCATGATCTGCGGATCATACCAACTTTGACACAACCCTTGACTGTTGTGGCGACTAGGCGCGTAGACTCGGGTCGTCGTTCGGCGACGACCTCGTAGGCGAGCGGCGAGGAGCTGAAAGGGGAGAAGAGAGGGTAAGAGGGATAAACACATCAGAAAACTCGACGGGGCAGAGCGGCGATCGGCACGAAGGCACGAGATCGACGAAAGCTAGTCTTCACGCAACCAGCGACAGACTAGTCCCAATGACCAAGTTATACATTAGCACTCGAAGGGAAGTACAACGCTATGGTCACTCACCTAGTCCCAATGACCAAGAGGTCGAGATGGGGACTAGGGAGCGCCTAAGGGGGTCCTTATATACTAGAGGGGCTGCTTAGCAACCAAGGACAAGGCGCGAGAGCGAGGCAGTGAAGATGACAAAGAGAGAACAAAGGGCGAGAAAGAAAAGGCAAGGGCATGGCGATCACGGGAACGTAGCATGCGGCTGTGGG